GATGAGCAATCTCAACATCTCAAATCTTGGAGGTAGGCACATCAAGAACCGATGAGAGACGTCATCATCCTTAATCTTCTCTCCCAATGCCTTCAAATCATTGACAATCACTTGCAAACGATGGAACATCTCCGGAATGCTCTCATGTTCCTTCATCTTGAAGCTTGTCAATTTATCCTTGAGGATATATAACTTGGCACTCTTCACCACCGATGTGCCCTCATATGTTTCCTCCAATCTCTTCCACACTTTATTTGCTCTTTCACAATCCTTGATTTGCTCAAACACCTTGGAATCAATGGCATTATATGTGGTGTTGAGAGCCATTGTATTGCATTGCTTGTTGATCTTATCTTGGTTGGTGGGATCATCGAGATCAATGATAGCATAGTCATTCTCGGTCACTTCCCATACTTGATCATTGATTGAACCAAGATACATTCTCATCTTTCTCTTCCAATAATCATAGCATGTGCCATCAAAGAACGGTGGTTTTGCCCCACACATGGTTGAACACAACTTGAGCCATAATTTGACACCGAGGTTGTTAAGCCTTTAATCAAACGGTGACCATGGCTCTAATACCACTTGAAAGGTCATAATATGGCTAGATGGGGGGTGAATAGCCTATTTAAAAATCTACAAATCAACTAGAGCAAATTGATTAGTATGACAAATAGCGAAATGCAAACTTGCTCTAACTCTACAAGGGTTGCAAGCCACCTATCCAACAATTCTAGTTGCAATGATTGCTAGTCACACAACTTGCTATGATACTACTCACTAAGAGCTCTCAACCTTGTTACTCTAAAGAGCTCCACTAGATGAACTTAATTAGCAAAGCAAGCTCTCAATTCTAATTACACTAAAGAGCTTGCCACAACTAGTTTGCAAGAATATAAATGAGTGAGTAGGATGATTATACCGCCATGTAGAGAAGTGAACCAATCACAAGATGAATATTAAACCAATCACCGGGAGAATATCAAATGGCAAGAGACAACCGATTTTCTCCCGAGGTTCACGTGCTTGCCAACACGCTACGTCCCCGTTGTGTCGACCAACACTTGGTGGTTCGGCGGCTAAGAGGTGTTGCACAAACCTCATCCATACAATTGGACACCGCAAGAACCTACCCACAAGTGAGGTAACTCAATGACACGAGCAATCCACTAGAGTTACCTTTCGGCGCTCCGCCGGGGAAGGTACAAATCCCCTCACAATCACCGGAGATGGCCACGAACAATCACCAACTCGTGTCAATCCTCCACCGCTGCACCAAGCCGTCTAGGTGGTGGCAACCACCAAGAGCAACAAGTGAATCCCGCAGCAAAACATGAACACCAAGTGCCTCTAGATGCAATCACTCAAGCAATACACTTGAATTCTCTCCCAATCTCACAATGATGATGAAACAATGATGGAGATGAGTGGGAGGGCTTTGGCTAAGCTCACAAGGTTGCTATGTCAATGCAAATGGTCAAGAGAGTGATCTTGAGTCGGCCATGGGGCTTAAATAGAAGCCCCCACGAAATAGAGCCGTTGTACCCCATCACTGGGCACAACACGGGGTGACCGGACGCTCCGGTCACATCGACCGGACGCTGGACCTCAGCGTCCGGTCACGCGATGCGTGCCATGTGTCATCGGCTTCAAACGCCGATCGCCCGATCTCAACGGTCAAGTGATGACCGGACGCGTCAGTTAGAAAGTGACCGGACGTTGGACCTCAGCGTCCGGTCGTTTCCAGTAAGGTTCCAAGTGCGACATTTCACGACCGGACGCATCCGGTCATGCTCGACCGGACACACCCTACGTCCGGTCACTCAACGTTTCCTCTATGCGCCTCACGTCAGCGTACGTCAGCACTGTTCGGACTCAGACCATGAGCGTCCGGTCAGTTTACACTCCAGCGTCCGGTCACAAGACCGAGATAGTGTGCTTTCTGTTGTCACTGACCGGACGCTAGACCTCAGCGTCCGGTCACTCTGTGAACCCCTGTCTTTTCTGTATAGGGCGTCGGTGGCACCGTTGGACTGTCCGCACTCTACGGGCGGACACTCCGCCGATGAAGTTTCTAACCCTTGCTCAAATGTGCCAACCACCAAGTGTATCACCTTGTGCACATGTGTTAGCATATTTTCACAAGCATTTTCAAGGGTGTTAGCACTCCACTAGATCCTAAATGCATATGCAATGAGTTAGAGCATCTAGTGGCACTTTGATAACCGTATTTCAATACGAGTTTCACTCCTCTTAATAGTACGGCTATCTAACCTAAATGTGATCACACTCGCTAAGTGTCTTGATCACCGAAATAAAATGGCTCCTACTATTTATACCTTTGCCTTGAGCCTTTTGTTTTTCTCTTTCTTCTTTTCAAGTTCAAGCATTTGATCATCACCATGCCATCACCATCGTCATGATCTTCGCCATTGCTTCATCACTTGGAGTAGTGCTACCTATCTCATAATCACTTTGATAAACTAGGTTAGCACTTAGGGTTTCATCAATTAACAAAACTAAACTAGAGCTTTCAGAGGGGAGGATTTTTTTTGGAAAGGAGGTGAGAGGGGAGTTTGTCACGATTTGTCATAATTCATTCATTTGAGATGGAAGAAGGTCCTTTGTGTTGTTGTATTGTTGTCTGTATATGTTTTGATCGAGGGAACTTTCTGGTTGATGGTACGAGGATTAGGAAAATAATTATTTTATTAAGGCATGCTAAGCATTTGGCCCTATGAGTGGCTTTTTTAGTTCTGTGTGGCATAGCTCGAGCCCAAAAATCTACCATATGAAGTTTGTTAATTTGCTAAAACTAAGAACCTTGAGTCTCCAATTTTGGCTATAATTTAATTAATAAAAAGAAAAGAGCTCAACTAAACAACTTAGGTGTGCCGGATGGGGTTCCACGGAGAGCCACCTCGACCATTCTCCTCTGTGCTGCTAGGAATTGTGGAAGCACCACCATGACGTTGTGTTTCGGGGTTTAGCTCCAAGCGTGGATAGATTAGTTGCTACATGCAGATCCACAGCAAGACTATGGCAATGTTGCTTGCCTCGAAACTCTCCTGTTCTAGCTAGTTTTTGGAGCTCAATTGCTTGGATGTAACTACTCTCCCATGCTGCTTAATCATGTTGTAACCTCTGGCTCCAAGCCAACATTCGGGATTCATATCCCTCCACCCACCAGGCTAAGCCTAGAATCTGTGGTAATATAATGAGGTGGGGACCGTTAGTCCCCCGTGCCTTAAAAAAAAGGAACCACATATTTCTAGAGCTACGAGTCCTTCGCTCCAAATTTTCTTGGCTGGAGCTCTGGCAAAGGGAGCCACTACCCGAAACCATTTTTTCCTCGTCGGCGTCAAGTACCCCCCCCCCCCTCGTTTTGCAACCTCCGTCATGAGCACATCCACCTTCTCCTACGTTGCTAGCGTACTGACGGGAAAACTTTTGCCACCGTCGCGGACCCATACGCACGCCCGAAACAAGGTTCTGAGAACTCAGTGCGCGCTCCAATCCCCTTTCTGGTCCACATATCCGAGAGAAGGGCTAAAAAAGGCGTGGACTGCTCAAGTATGAAGTGCACGAGATGAAAAGAATTCTGCCAACCTTATCCTCTCCTCTGCCTGGCCACAACTTATCTCGTTCTCCTCCAAATCTGTTCGTCCCCATGCTACCTCCGTCCTCGCAAAAGCACTGGCCCCCTCTCGTTCCTCGCCGGCGGGCGCCGGTGCCAAGACCTCCACCACCGATGGCCTAATGTCGAACACCAGCGTCCCCATGCCCAACTCCTTTGACACCCGCCGCCACACTCGTTTGGCCGCCGGCGTTGCCAGTCGCTGCTCTCTGCTCTCACTTCTCGATGCTGCCACCAAGACCGCCACGCCGTCGCAGGTACTTACAACAGTATGCTGGCAACCCTACCTCTCCTCTCCCTCTCCCTACCAAATCATCCTCATCTCTCCAAATCATACACAAAAAGAAGCTCGTAGATCTGCATGTCTTTTAGGGTAGTGGTGCTCGGCCTTGTTTGCTTCCTCTTCCTTTCCCATCAAAATTTCAGTCCGTACCTTCTTGCAGGTAGATTCCATCAAGGGAGCAGATGATTTGAGTGATTGGACCAGCATTTAATTTGTTCTTATTGGCTTGTAGGCGCAGTCTTTTTGAGCAGGTATGGGAGTGCAAAGGAAAAAACGACGACGAAGTCCTTCCCTGACGGTTATAACCCTCAGGAATCAATTGGTGACAGTTTTCTATCGGGGAAGATGGACTTTTCCCATCAGTTTATCCCTGACGGTAACTGTCACGGACGGCTTTCCTGGAAGGTATTAGCCATTTTCCCTAACGGTTTCGGCCGTCAGGATTTTTTTTTTTTTGCCTGAGTAGTGAGCCTCTGCAATAGGTAAACCCACCATATGTACATGAGGCCTATATAAGAGGTTGCTTTATTTGCTGATGCAACAACTAAAGAATCTATGTTAGGAAGTAATGTATCCAATGAGCTGTACAACGAGTACATACAAAAAGGAAAATATCTCTAACAATATATCCAGCAAAGGGATGGTTCTACACTATCTTGCTCGCACTTTATTTTCTTGGATGGATGCATGCGCCAGCGAACAATATCAACAAAGATGTACACTGAAGTCCCACTGAATACTGCTGATATAATGCTTTCTCGTAATCTGGCGTGCTCAGGCTCAGGGACACGTGCAAAAAACAGGGCGCCCACAGGAACAGGTTCCCTTTTGTCGTATATACTTATGAAGTATACACTGTACAAGATGGCACGAGCGCAGTATCTGCAAGCAACGTTCTGTACTGTACAATCGTATTAAAATATAATATAACTAAAGAAAAGCAGCAAATTTTTGTTGTCGAATTAATTCCTAAAGTACCTCCAGCGCATTCCTAGCTCAATATCATTACGAATTATAAGGAAAGGTAAATTTGCCTGATATATACAAGCAAAGGCTATCGTGCGTCCTACCGTAGCAATGGAGGCAGCAGGCGGGGGAACGACGATGAAGACGGTGTGCGTGACCGGCGCGGGGGGTTTCGTGGCCTCGTGGCTCGTCGAGCGCCTCCTCGCCGGCGGCCGATACGTGGTCCACGGCACCGTCCGCGATCCCGGTAACTCGTTGATAGATACAGCCATACAGGATCCACGCCACCGTCCTCAGTTCTTGTTCTCGTGAGGAGCTAGAGCGACTGAGCGAGTGTGTATCTGATATGACCATCGATTCGTGCGCAGGCGACGCCAAGAACGCGCACCTGCCGGGGCTGGACGGCGCCGCGGAGCGGCTGCGGCTGTTCAAGGCCGACCTGCTCGACTACGGCAGCATGGCGGCGGCCATCGCAGGCTGTGACGGCGTCTTCCATGTGGCCTGCCCCGTCCCCGACTATGCCCTCACCGACCCCGAGGCACCAGCACTCGCCCTTTCTCCCCTCTGCCTCTCGTCATGCATCTGCCTTCGTGCGATCTCCATCAGGCAGACAGTCACCGTACGTCTCCGTATTTTGTTGCAGGTCGAGCTGCTGGCTCCTGCCGTGACGGGCACCATGAACGTCCTCAGGGCGTGCTCCGAGGCCGAGGTCAAGAGGGTCGTCGTGGTGTCGTCTCTCTCGGCTGTGATGATAAAGCCTGAGTGGGACGAGTGCAAGGTCATGGACGAAAGTTGCTGGTCTGACGTCAACCTCTGCAGAACCACTGAGGTCACAAACCAACTTGAACCCTTTTGCATGCGTGCCCTCTGGGAAATTTGATATTAGTAATGTGTTACCCATGTTTCATCTACAAATATATATATATATATATATATATATATATATATATATATATATATATAGTTGGATTGATGGTAGCACTTGGATGACCCACATATATGAGCTCATTGATGGACTTAGAGCCTGTTTGATTGTCCACCTTGGGCAGGTACGCGGGAAACACGGGAACAGGGACCCGTCTCCATGAACCCAACAAGGACTAGATTTTTTCCGTTTCAATTCATGTACGGATTAAATTGGTCTCATCCCTGTCTCCAAATAGGAGAATGCTCCACGGGGAATAGGTGGTCGGGGGCCATTGCCATCTCTACCACCAACACATGCCACGTTGGTTGTAGCGCCACTGCAGCCGAGCCAAAGAAAATGGATGCCACAGTTGTGGCGAGAATTGATACGTGAATGAGTTGAGAATTTTGTCGCACACCACAACTAACTTGTCAATCAAATATAAACAGCCTTACTTTTGTGGCAGCCGTTTGTGTGGCGTGGAGGGGCAAAGTGAGGCCCGGAAACAAACATGCCCTTAATCCCTCTTTAAACAAACCCTTACGCGTGCGCCACGCGCACGTTTTATTAACCGATTTTTTTTTTGTTGCGTCTATAGTAAGTCATAACCAAAGCTATTTCTCTCCTTTGACATAATGACACAGTTTTTCCTATGTGTTCGCGAAAAGAAACCTTTGTACAGAAAGTACATATAGTCACTGGATGTTGATTTATCGAGTGACAATGATAGGGATGCTGCTTGTGCTTTGGTGCTAGCTAGATCGATTTTGGTTAAAACCTTTGTAGGGAAAACTGCATATACTCATTGATGTCGATTGTCGAGTGACAATGATAGGGATGTTGCTTGTGCTTAATTTGATGCTAGCTAGATCGATTTTGTTAGTTAAGCCTAGTGCTGCTGCTACTGCTATTCAGCTATTCTACTGTAATGTCAGTGACCTCAGCCAGATAATCAGAGACAAATAATCACTTGCATTAATTGTGCCTAATCAAGTACTCCAACGGGCCAGCTGGATTATAGGTCATTCGGGCAACAAGGAATGCGCATCATTCTGATTGGAAGGGTTCTTAACTTTTCCTTTTAATACCTGCAAAACATGTGATTTTTCACCCACATTCTAATTTTGTTCTCTCCCAATTTAACTCTTCCAGAACTGGTATTGCCTTTCCAAGACACTGGCAGAGCTGGAGGCATTTGAGTACGCCAAGAGAACCGGACTAGATGTGGTGTCTGTCTGCCCATCCCTGGTGATTGGGCCCTTGCTGCAACCCACACTGAACGCGAGCAGTTCGGTCGTGGTTGATTTCCTCAAAGGTTTACTACTTTTTCTTTCCTTTGAATTCTTACCCAATTTGTAGCACATCCTGTTGAATTTGAGCTAGAGCTGATGTGGTTTGTGTTATCTCTGTACAGGAGATCGCTTGGTGAAAATGAAGATCAGACACTTTGTGGATGTTCGCGATGTCGCCGACGCTCTTCTCCTAGTGTATGAGACCCCGGAGGCATCTGGGAGGTATATCTGCAATTCGCACGCAAGGTTGGTATCTGATGTCATAAAGCTACTCAAGAGCTGGTACCCGACTTATCAATATGCCACCAAGTAAGCCTGATATTGATTATCAGCAATTGTGTTGCTTCTTCAGAACTCCGATCATACATATAAGTTAATCGAAGTTTGTCTAAACTCAGTTTCGTTTAGTTTTGATTATTAGTATCCAAGTGTGCTAAAAATTAGTTAATGTTGCTCATGTTGTTCCATTGCACTTTTGATTTGTTTTGGGGCATGGTGAATTTTGAAATGGCATGGTCACTGCAATCTGATGTACTGCATATACACATTTTGTTCCCCAACCAATGGCAGGTTTGTCCAAGTGACCCACGAGCCTGCATTCAGTTCCAAGAAGTTGCAGGCGCTTGGCTGGAAATTCAGGCCATTTGAGCAGACCCTCAGGGACAGCGTGGAATCCTTCAAGGCAGCAGGTGTCTTGGATTGAGGAAACACTACTGCCCTGTCGCATTTGAAAATCAAAGTCGTTGCCTCATACAGTACATCATTGTCTTGATCGATAATTGGGATGAGTAATGTAAGCATCAAAAGGGATCAAAGTTTTTTCGTGTAATAGGTGGCATTTGGCAATAATAAGTATATGAGGCAATTGGCAATTACACACGCCCTACTGCCTAAAATCGGATGCCTGGGACTAGGGTCGTGAGCAAAATCCAAGGCCTGGTTTAAAATTCTAGAATAGGCACTGATGGTCTAGAAAAAAAATAGAATAATAAGTGAATAATCATATATAATACACTTGCCTCAAAAAATCATATATAATACTCCTATAGCACAAACCTATGGTATTGAGTAGTTACCAGAAAGAAATATTTTAACGATAATACAAAATAAATGGTCAATTAATTACCTACGTATCTTTAGGAATTAGGCTACTTACTCGTTGAGTGCAAGCCTCCAAGTGCCAAACTGCCAATCATCTCAAGTTTTCGATGGATCTATGGCACTACAACAGTTTGACGCTTATCAGTATGCACTCTCCCATCGATGACTTTGTGTTGTTTGCAATTTGATGTTTGTAGTGGAATACTAGACTTAAGATTCCCTAGCTGCCTAGCGGAGATGGTGTGAGTTGGACCGGGATGAAGTAGGTTAGATAGACGAACAAACGAAGTAGTGTACCCATTTCTAGATTCGGCACCAATCGTGGTTATGGACTCCGCACAAAAAATGTCAAATAGAGTATAGTATATTGATTATCAGATGAATTATAGTTAGGGATGAAAGTGGTGCGGATAATTCTACACTTCGCTCTGATCCGAATCCAAATTTCAAGGATACAGAGAAGAACTTTTAATATCCATGCGGATATGGATAATCCAAATCCGATTGTGTGCGGATGTGGGGCAGGATATGGAATCGACAAAATCTGGCGGGTATGGATTATCCGTAAATTCTATACGGATCATCCGTTGTTTAGGATAGGATATCCGATAATTTATCTTCCTAGACTAAAATCTAGAAGAATTTAGGATTTTAAAAAAAAATTGTTAGTCGACAACTCTTATTTTGTGATGTTACCACACACCGAAATTAGCGTCAGGCGTCTGTCGCTAAAAATAGCTATTTAGGGCAGTCTCAATGGTGTATTGATGATGGTTTCTATCCTCATTAAATAACTTGTCACGTAGGCAAAACATTGACATGGCAACGTAATTAATGAAGAAAGAGAGCAAAAATCATAGATATGGTTTTCTCATGAAGAAATCAGGTCTACTCTTGACCTAATGCACCAAGAAACCATGAAATCGCCATTGGGGAGAAACCACCAGTTTCTAGGGGACTCGTGTCGCACTCCCATTAGAGGAAGAAGATAGAGTTGGAAGAGCGAAAGAGAAAATAATTATTACTCATAGAAACCATGGGTTGGAAAGTAGTACTTTTTTAGTGCGGCATTCTAGGTTATAGAAACTACTACTGCCCTTAGTGATGCAACATTGGTTGGTACAAAATTGCCACAAAGTATCATTCGGTAAATGTACTTGTAGCGACCAAACATCTATCACTATATATGTCGTTAGACTATCGATTGGTATAGGTCAGTAAGAGCAACTCCAACAGCTCGGCTATTTTTGTTTTGGAGTCCATTTTAGAATTTGTATAGCAGCCAACAGATGTGGTATCTGGTTTTATAAAATAGAAAGCTGGCTATCCCTTGATTTTAGGTGGCCATATAAAGCCAACCATGAGCGCCGGCTATCGAAGATGAGAAATAGTAAGACTGTTGCATACCTCTTCTTTTTTGAGAAATTTTCTATTTTACAAAATAGCTAAACTATGAAATTTGGTTAGTAATTTTAGCCAAGCTATTGGATAATGTCATGCTATTGGTCATAAAAAAGAAACGAAAAACTAGCGCGCACCGCGCGCGCCTAAAATTTCCTCCTCGCGGGCTCAAACCCTAGCGTGCTCGAGTGTGCGTCCTAATAAATAAACAAAAAACGCGGCCGTTCCCCAAAACCCTCACTCCCATCTCACCTTTCTCCAGAAACCAATTCCACCGTGAAAAAATGGCAACTTTCCACATCGGGATCCCAGGCGACCGCGGCTGCTCCCAGGCCGTGCGACGCCGTCGTGCCTAGGGTCCACGCGCATGTGGGGCAGGCCGCCGCCACACCCAGGGTTTAGGGTTTAGAATTTAGGGTTTGACGTTATAGATGTTGAATTGAGATCTTGCTAGTTTACATATTAGCTAATAACTTATCATTTATAAGTGATGATACTTACTAATGCTAATTGTAGTCGGTGCGATAGCCACAACTTGAAATCAATGTATGACTATTGTCTACTACTTGTTATTGGCTCTTTACAAAATTAATTCTTGACACGCATGCACATATTACTCGACTATTTAGATTCGTATCCAATTATTTCACTCCATATTTGTACCAATTCCGACATCTGAAAAATCTGCATCCGCATCCGCATCTATGTATTATCTGCTCTGATCCGGAAACCGACAAAGAAAAACATATTAGAATATAAGAGAGGCATTACCGATCCGATTCTTCGTACCTAGTTATAGTTTTGTCCCTAAAAATTTAGAGCCTGCACCATCGTATGAGCTTTTTTTTAGGCTCTCTCTACTATCTTCCTTAAAAAGTTATTTTATTTTATCATACGTTTTTTCAAAGCAGTTTTAGTTTCACTAGTGAAATTACTTTATAGAACCGAAATAAAAAAAAAACCTACTTCACTAATAAAGCTGAGTTATACCAAACCGACCCAAACTTTGTCACCGTGTGCATTGTGGTGCACAGAGTACTATATGCACATAGGATCCCCTGAGTTCTCTGCCCAACCCGTGTGCCATATCCTTATCCTCGCAGTTCAGGAATCGGGACGTCGACTAGCGCCAAATTGTCAATCGCCACAATTTGCACGAGGTCAATAGGAGTATCACCCAATCGGCCGGCCGTATATTTAATAACAAACAAGTACTGTATTAACCCTCTCGACACCCGAATCAGTCCAAGGAAACAAGACGAGCCCCGGCCCGTAGGTCGTCGTGATCGGTACCAATGGAAGGCGCAGCAGGGAGGACGAGGACGGCGGTGTGCGTGACCGGCGCGGGAGGCTTCGTGGCCTCGTGGCTCGTCGAGCGCCTCCTCGCCGGCGGCCGCTACGTGGTCCATGGCACCGTCCGTGATCCGGGTACGAAATCACTGCACTGCTTGTCTTCTTGCTCCTGGTGAACTGGCGTATGCGTGCGTACGTGTGGATGATCGTTCTGTGCTGTGCGTGGCGCGCAGGCGACGCCAAGAACGCGCACCTGGCGGCGATGGACGGTGCCGCGGACCGGCTGCGCCTGTTCAGGGCCGACTTGCTGGACTACGGCAGCGTGGCGGCGACCATCGCCGGCTGCGACGGCGTCTTCCACGTCGCGTCCCCGGTCCCCGTCACCAACCGAGTCACTGACCCCGAGGCACCACACCACACCACACCACACCTCACCTCACCTCAGCTCGCCCTTCCTGCTGCTGCCCTTTTTCTTCCCTCGGCTTCCTCATGCGTCAGTACGTTCTGCAGGGAGAGCTGCTCGCTCCGGCCGTGACGGGCACCATGAACGTCCTCAAGGCGTGCTCCGAGGCCAAGGTCAAGAGGGTCGTCGTGGTGTCGTCCGTGTCCGCCGTGATGGTGAACCCTGGCTGGCCCCAGAACGAGGTCATGGACGAAGCCTGCTGGTCTGATGTCGAATTCTGCAGAACCACTCAGGTGACAGCAAAAGCTTCACATGCACCCTGTTCCTGTCATCCCTCAACTCGAGGAAATTCGATGATTTGCACCGGGTGTTTCGCTCACATATACTTAGGACCGATTGTAAACAACCAATTACATTTGTGTTGACCTTAATCCTCTCCTTCTAGACAAAGTATAAATAGATTTCACAAACAGCCATGACATTTCTGTCGTTCCTCTGCAGAATTGGTATTGTCTTTCCAAGACACTGGCAGAGCTGGAGGCATTTGATTACGCCAAGAGAACCGGACTAGATGTGGTGTCAGTCTGCCCATCCCTGGTGATCGGTCCCTTGCTGCAGTCGACAGTGAACGCAAGCAGCTCCATCATAGTCGACTGCTTGAAAGGTACTAAGAATTATCCCCTCACTTTGCTGTGCTCTCGAAGTCTGAAACTCTGAACTGAAATCTTAGCCGCTTTGAGTACATCCAGACGAGTCCTGTAACTGTAACCGCTCCTGCAGGAGATCGTGAGGTGAAACTGAAGCTGAGGAACTTCGTGGATGTTCGCGACGTCGCCGATGCTCTGCTCCTGGTGTACGAGACTCCGGAGGCGTCTGGACGGTACATCTGCGATGCAAATGCAAGGCAGGTGTCTGATGTCATAGCGCTGCTGAAGAACTGGTACCCTGCCTACAATCATGCCACCAAGTAAGCAGAAACATACTGAAAGATTATATACATACTTTGTACTAGTAATCAAGCTATCAGTGCTTAAAACCGCAAGCTGCTACATAGCGTTTTGATCCAAGGCAAATGCATGGCAGGTTCGTGCAAGTGAGCGATGAGCCTTTATTCAGCTCCAAGAAGCTGGAGGCGCTGGGCTGGAAATTCAGGACGTTCGAGGAGACCCTCAGGGACACCGTTGAATCCTTCACGGCGGCAGGTGTCCTGGATTGAACAAACAGTGCCCTGTCCTGTATAACGTTCGCATCTTGAAAATCAAAGTTGTTGTTGTTGATACTCAAATTTGGCTTAGTTATATTTTGTTTGAACATCAGATAGCCAAACTTGACTTTCAGAATATTTAGCCATAAATGCAATAGTTTGATTAATCGGACAGCGTTATCTATCATTAATAATTTACAGAGAAGATCATTTGGCCCAATTATTTGAGCTAGTTGAGTATCTGTAAATTGCTTCTAAGTGCTAAAACAGGGGGGAGGACGTCTTATATGGACTGTGGAGT